CTCAATGTACTATATTAGTCCATCAGAATGTTCACCCTCACTGTACAATAACAGTCCACCCGACAGTTCACCGTCACTGTACAATATCAGTCCACATGACAGTTCACCCTCACTGTGCAATGTTGTTCCTGCAATTGACCACAGTCATCAGTCCACTCGCCAGTTCACCCTTACTGTACAACATCAGCGCAGCCGAATGTTCACCCTCACTGTACAATGTTGTTCCTGCAATTGACCGCAGTCATTAGTCCACCCGACAGTTCACCCTACTGTACAATATCACTATATCTGACTGTTCACCCTCACTGTACAATATCAGTCCATCCGAGAGCTCTCCCTCACTGAACAATGTGGTTGCTCCCAATTGACCACCGTCATCAGTCCATTCGACTGTTCACCCTCACCATAAAATGTGGTCCCTGCAATTGACCACCGTCATCAGTCCATCCGACAGTTCAAATTCATTGTACAATATCAGTCCAACCGACACTTCACCTACACTGTACAATTTCAGTCCAACCGACTGTTCACCCTCACTGTACAATGTTGTTCCTGTAATTGACCGTCGACATCAGTCCATCTGACAGTTCACCCTCAACGTACAATATCAGTCTATCTGACTGTTCACCCTCACTGTCCAATATCAGTCTATCTGACTGTTCACCCTCACTGTACAATATCAGTTCAATCGAATGTTCACCCTCACTGTACAATGTTGTTCCTGCAATTGACCACCGTCATCAGTCCATCTGACTGTTCACCTTCACTTGAAAACGTCATCAGTCCATCTGACTGTTCACCCTCACTATAAAATGTGGTTCCTGCAATTGATCACTGTCATCAGTCCATCCGACTGTTCACCCTCACTATAAAATGTTGTTCCTGCAATTGATCACTGTCATCAGTCCATCCGACAGTTCACCCACCTGTACAATATCAGTCCAGCCGACAGTTCACCCTCACTGTACAATATCAGTCCAGCCGATAGTTCACCCTCACTGTACAATATCAGTCCATCCGACAGTTCGACCTCACTGTACAATGTGGTTCCTGCAATTCACCACCGTCATCAGTCCATCCGACTGTTCACCCTCACTATAAAATGTGGTTCCTGCAATTGATCACTGTCATCAGTCCATCCGACAGTTCACCCACCTGTACAATATCAGTCCATCCGACAGTTCACCCTCACTGTACAATATCAGTCCAGCTGATAGTTCACCCTCACTGTACAATGTGGTTCCTGCAATTGACCACCGTCATCAGTCCATCTGACTGTTCACCCTCACTGTACAATGTGGTTTCTGCATTTGACCACTGTCATCAGTGCATCTGACAGTTCAACCTCACTGTTCAATACCAGTCCATTCGAATGTTCACCATCACTGTACAATAACAGTCCATCCAACAGTTCACACTCACTGTACAATATGAGTCCATCCGACAGTTCGACCTCACGGTACAAGGTGGTTCCTGCAATTGACCACCGTCATCAGTCCATCTGACTGTTGACCCTCACTGTACAATGTGGATCCTGCAATTGACCACTATCATCAGTCCATCCGACAGTTCACCTCACTGTACAATATCAGTCCATCCGACTGTTCACCCTCACTGTACAATATCAGTCCATCTGACAGTTCACCCTCACTGTACAATGTGGTTCCTGCAATTGACCCCTGTCATCAGTAGATCCGACAGTTCACCCCCACTGTACAATATCAGTCCATCCGACAGTTCACCCTCACTGTAAAATAACAGTTCAACCGACAGTTCACCCTCACAGTACAATATCAGTCCATCTGACTGTTGACCCTCACTGTACAATGTGGATCCTGCAATTGACCACTATCATCAGTCCATCCGACAGTTCACCTCACTGTACAATATCAGTCCATCCTGACAGTACACCCTCACTGTACAAAGTGGTTCCTGCGATTGACCACCGTCATCAGTCCAGTCGACTGTTCACACTCACTATAAAATGTGGTTCCTGCAATTGATCACTGTCATCAGTCCATCCGACAGTTCAACCTCATTGTACAATAACAGTCCACCCGACAGTTCACCCTCACTATACAATATCAGTCCATCTGACAGTTCACCCTCACTGTGCAATGTTGTTCCTGCAATTGACCACAGTCATCAGTCCACTCGCCAGCTCACCCTTACTGTACAACATCAGTGCAGTCGAATGTTCACCCTCACTGTACAATGTTGTTCCTGCAATTGACCACCGTCATCAGTCCATTAGACTGTTCACCCTCATTGCACAATATCAGTCCCCTTGACAGTTCACCCTCACTGTACAATGTGGTTCCTCTAATTGACCACTGTTCATCAGTCATCAGTCCATTAGACTGTTCACCCTCACTATAAAATGTGGTCCCTGCAATTGACCACCGTCATGAGTCCATCCGACAGTTCACCTTCACTCTACAATATCAGTCCATCTGACTGTTCACCCTCACTGTACAATATCAGTCCATCCGACAGTTCACCCTCACTGTACAATGTGGTTCCTGCAATTGACCACTGTCATCAGTACATCCGACAGTTCACCCCCACTGTACAATATCAGTCCATCCGACAGTTCACCCTCACTGTAAAATAACAGTTCACCCGACAGTTCACCCTCACAGTACAATATCAGTCCATCTGACTGTTGACCCTCACTGTACAATGTGGATCCTGCAATTGACCACTATCATCAGTCCATCCGACAGTTCACCTCACTGTACAATATCAGTCCATCCGACTGTTCACCCTCACTGTACAATATCAGTCCATCTGACAGTTCACCCTCACTATACAATGTGGTTCCTGCAATTGACCACCGTCATCAGTCCATCTGACAGTTCACCTTCATTGTACAATATCAGTCAAACCCACTGTTAAACCTTACTGTACAATGTGATTCGTGCATTTGACCACCGTCATCAGTTCATCCGACAGTTCACCCCCACTGTACAATATCATTCCATTCGACTGTTCACCCTCACTGTACAATATCAGTCCAACCGACTGTTCACCCTCACTGTACAATGTTGTTCCTGCAATTGACCGCCGTCATCAGTCCATCCGACAGTTCAACCTCACTGTACAATTTCAGTCTTTCTGACTGTTCACCCTCACTGTACAATATCAGTTGATCTGACTGTTCACCCTCACTGTACAATGTGGTTTCTGCAATTGACCACCTCATCAGTCCATCCGACTGTTCACCCTCATTGTACAATATCTGTCCATCCGACAGTTCACCCTCACTGTAAAATATCAGTCCATCTGACGGTTCACCCTCACTGTACAATATCAGTCCATTCGACTGTTCACCCTCACTGTATAATATCAGTCCATCCGACAGTTCACCCTCACTGTACAATATCAGTCTATCCGACAGTTCACCCTCACTGTACAATCTCAGTCCATCCGATTGTTCACCCTCACTGTACAATCTTGTTCCTGCAATTGACCACCGTCATCAGTCCATCCGACTGTTCACCCTCATTGTACAATATCAGTCCATCCGACTGTTCACCCTCACTGTACAATCTCAGTCCATCCGATTGTTCACCCTCACTGTACAATGTTGTTCCTGCAATTGACCACCATCATCAGTCAATCCGACAGTTCACACTCACTGTACAATATCAGTACAACCGAATTTTCACCCTCACTGTACTATGTTGCTCCTGCATTTGACCGCCGACATCAGTCCATCCGACAGTTCACCCTCACTGTACGATATCAGTCCATCTGACTGTTCACCCCCACTGTACAATATCAGTCCATCCGACAGTTCACCCTCACTGTACAATGTGGTTCCTGCAATTGACCACCGCCATCAGTCCATCCGACTCTTCACCCTCACAGTACAATATCAGTCCATCTGACTGTTCACCCTCACTGCACAATGTGGTTCCTGCAATTGACCACTGTCATCAGTACATCCAACAGTTCACCCCCACTGTACAATATCAGTCCATCAGACAGTTCACCCTCACTGTAAAATATCAGTTCACCCGACAGTTCACCCTCACAGTACAATATCAGTCCATCTGACTGTTGACCCTCACTGTACAATGTGGATCCTGCAATTGACCACTATCATCAGTCCATCAGACAGTTCACCTCATTGTACAATATCAGTCCATCCGACTGTTCACCCTCACTGTACCCTCACTGTACAATCCGACAGTTCACCCCATCTGACAGTTCACTGACGGTTTCACTCACTATACAATGTGGTTCCTGCAATTGACCACCGTCATCAGTCCATCCGAGTGTTCACCCTCTTTGTACAATATCAGTCCATCCGAATGTTCACCCTCACTATACAATATCAGTCCATCCGACAGTTCACCCTCACTGTACAATCTCAGTCCATCCTACAGTTCACCCTTACTGTACAATGTGTTTCGTGCAATTGACCACCGTCATCAGTCCATCCGACGGTTCACCCCCACTGTACAATATCAGTCCATCCGACTGTTCACCCTCACTGTACAATATCAGTCCATCCGACTGTTCACCCTCACTGTACAATATCAGTCCATCCGACAGTTCACCATCACTGTACAATATCAGTCCTCCCGACAGTTCACCCTCACTGTACAATATCAGTCCATCCGACTGTTCACCCTCACTGTACAATGTTGTTCCTGCAATTGACCACCGTCATTAGTCCATCCGACTCTTCACCCTCACTATAAAATGTGGTTCCTGCAATTGACCACCGTCATCAGTCCATCCGACAGTTCACCCTCACTGTACATTATCAGTCCATCCGACTGTTCACCCTGACTGTGCAATATCAGTCCATCCGAGTGTTCACCCTCACTGTACAATGTGGTTCCTGCAATCACCTAGCAGGAGCGGAGTAACTACACCATCATCATCATCAACTAAGAACTTATTTAGCGCAGGAATCCAGTCAGTATAACTGCTCAAAAGCGCTTTCAGAATATGCATGTCACATGTATCAGCAATGTCAATTCGGTCTAGGTGTATGTCTTTGAGAAAAGGTGGGTCTTGAGATTGGTTTTAATAGTGGCCAAGTTATTTATAAGTCTCAGCTTTAATGGCAGATCATTCCAGTGTCGTGGAGCTGCTCTGGCGAATGATCGATCTCCATAGGTGGTGGTCCTTGCGTGTGGAACACACAGCATGCCTTGTCCCATGGATCTAAGATACCTCGCGGGCTTGCATTCCTTGAAGAGTTCCTGGAGATACACAGAGGCCAGGCCTGACCTTGCTTTGAAGGATAACAGGAGCACTTTATAAGTGATTCTGTCTGCCACCTTCAACCAATGAAGTTTCTCTAACACTGGATAGATGTGGCTGTCTTTCTTTGTCTTTGTCACAAGTCTAGCTGCACAATTCTGAACGCACTGCAGCTTTGCTATCAATTGCTTTGGTAGTCCAATTAGAAGAGCATTGCAGTAATCTAAATGGGACACAACACAACACTGAACAAGAGATGTTACAGTCTTTAGATTTACAAATCGACGTATTTGTACAATGTTTCGGATGTTAAAATATGCATGTCTGCATATTTTGTTTACATGGGACCCAGCATTCATAGATGAGTCAAATAAAAATCCCAGATTTCGTGCTTCTTTGCTTGGTTCACTGATGCAGCCTCCAATTTCAAAGGTGGGAAGAGCAAGTTTGCTTCTCGCTGACTTTGAATCAGCAGTTCCGTCTTCTCACTGTTGAACTTGAGAAAGTTTAGGGTCATCTAATCCTTGATGTCCTTGATACAGTTCATCAAACGACGATATGTATCCTCTACTGATGTTCTGTTGGAGGGCTTGAAGGCCAGATACAGCTGGGTGTCATCAGCGTAGAGATGGAACGAGAGATTATTGTCCCCGAGAGGTGATGTGTATATAGTGAACAACACCGGTCCCAGTAAAGAACCCTGTGGAACTACATACTTGACGCTAAGTTTCTCTGACAATTGCCCATTGACTCTCACGGCCTGAAATTAGTAGGATGACATCGGTATGCAGACTGCAACGTTTCCGCTTTCCCAGTTCTGATGATATGATCACGAAGCCTTGACACTACCACTCTCTTCATGACCTTAGCAGCAAAGGGCAAGTTGGAGACTGGTCTGTAATATTTTAGGTTGTTTGAATCTAGATGAGGTTTCTTGATCAGTGGTGTATTAGATGCTAACTTGAAGGTGCTTGCAACACAAGCTTGACTGAAAGAAGCATTGATCACACTGGTTATTGTTGGTACTGTTTCATCCAGACACTCCTTCAACAACCATGTCGGCAAGGGTCTAGTGAAGAAGACTTTGTAGGACACCTCACAATCACCTGTCTCACCTCGATCTCAGATGCTGGTAGGAAACAAGACAGTTCCGGAATATCATGCATATTCATGTCGGCATGAGCTGCTGGCGAGGTTTGTATGAACGTATGCAAATCTGTGAGGTATGATCAAATCTTCTAAGTCTTTTTTTTGAAGAATGATGAGAATGTTTCGGCAATAACATCTTCAGGAAGATTGTCAGGTAGGGCTTGCGACTGTCTTGTACAGTAGTCTGTTAGAGATCTTAAATATTTCCTTCTGGTCTTTTGCAGCTTCCACGATGTCATTGACTCATTTCCTTTTTGCCTGTTCAACCAATGCATTCACCCTAATCCGTGCTTGGGAGTGCATCTGCTTATGTACAGTGAGCCCACTGTATCGCATATTTATTTTAAGTTTACGCCGCTTTCTTTTTGCTGCACGGATTTCATCGCTGTACCATGCCTCTCTCATGTGAACAGTTACAGTTCTTGTCTTTAGAACACATTTCTAATTAAACGTTTAGCATCATCTGAATAAGCTTTCATGATGACAGCTAGAGGTAGTCAATGTGAATGATCCAAACGGTCTGTCACTGTGCAGTGCACAGGTAACTATCATGAACTGCACGTGCATTTACCTTTATGACCCAACACTGCCACTGTTACAGGTCATTGGCTCCCTCCCTCTGCAAGCAGTCTGCGTTCTGCTGATTATTTTGTTGACAGTTACATAGACAGATTCTTTAATACAAATGCCTAAAATCGGTGATTTACAATGTGATTAGGTTGTCTGACAAAACATCCATTTGCACAGTTTGAGATCGATTTGGTCATTGGACGAAGATGTAAATACTAATGTGTTGTATGTTTGATTGAATTCATGTATCAATAATCTTCGGATCTCTCTCTCTCTCTCTCTCTCTCTCTCTCTCTCTCTCTCTCTCTCTCTCTCTCTCTCTCTCTCTCTCTCTCTCTCTCTCTCTCTCTCTCTCTCTCTCTCTCTCTCTCTCTCTCTCTCTCTCTCTCTCTCTCTCTCTCTCATCCCTTCAGCAGTTAAAAGAACAAAGATACTACGTTTAAAATAAATATGAGTCAAAAAGGAAACTTTGAAAAATAATGAATATTTTTTCTCTGATTATACATCTATGTATCCGAAATTGGATCCCTATCTTTCGACATCGTTAGCAAAACCCACTCAAACCCATCCATTCGTCGTGCAAATGACGTTAGTGCCAAATCAAGTTTTCTTCATATGCACGTGTTTGCATTGGCCTCAAGAATTGGAAAAACACTTTTAAGACACAGTTTTAACGGTACTTGAAATGCCACGATTGTCAAATGTGCAACGTGAACTTGCCGTTGGCATGTTGCAAGCGGGAAGATCAGTTATTGACGTCGCAAGAGCAATGGGATGCAGCCGTCGTACTGTGTATGACTTGCGAGGTCGTCTACAACAAACTGGCACCCCTTCTGATCGCCCAAGGTCGGGTCGTCCACGTGTGACGTCACGAGCAGAAGACCGTCAAATCGTCCTACGTCACCTACGTGACAGATTTCTGCCGGCTACACGAACCAGGGCTGAGATGTTTAGAGGTCGACTGTCCTCACAGACCTCCATTCTCGACGTCCATATCGTGGGTCAATATTGACGCCGTTTCATCAACGTCAACGTCTGCTGTGCGCCCAACGTCACCTCCAATGGACCCGAGAGACTGGAATCGAGTCGTCTTTAGCAATGAATCCAGGTTTACCCTCAGATTCGCGGACGGCAGGCATAGAGTCTGGAGACGACCTCGTGAACGGTATGCCCAATGTTGTGTACAGGAAGTCCCACAGATTCGGGGGCGAAAGTTGCATGGTGTGGGGTGCTTTCTGTGGGAACAACCGTTCCCGACTTCTGGTCATCCGTGGAAAACTCACAGCTGCTGCTTACCGCGGCCAGAACTCGTTCCTTTCATGGCGGCTCATGGCCCAGGTCGACAGTTCCAGCATGATAATGCTCGGCCGCATACCGCGATGCTGACATGAAATTTCCTCCAAAACGCTGGAATCAACGTCATGGACTGGCCATCGACGTCCCCTGACCTTAATCCAATAGAGCACGTTTGGGATGCACTTGGGAGAAGGCTTCGTGGTCTTAGGAACCAACCTCAGAATTTGCAGGAACTTGGCGCTGCCTTGCAAGAGCAATGGCGCAGAAACCCCAGCCACGTGTTCACAAGCTTCAGGCAGTCAATGATGAGACGGTGTTTGGCAGCGCTGAATGCTCGGGGCGGCCATACACGATATTGAACTGAGAAATTTTGAATTTTTATTCTTGTGACTTGACATTCTGTATACCCATGTTTTTGGAACGGCGGTGTAGCCTAATGGAACTGATTATGGCACTGTCAGTGTATCGAGTACATCACACAGATCTCAGCAATGAAATAATAACAATTTAACCATCTTACCATCTCTTGTTCTTTTATAGTGCCCTGACGAAAGAATGTGAAATTTCTTTTTTGACTCAGTATACATTTTACTTTGAAAGTTTTGGGACTTACGTGCCCTATCAGAAGGATAATAATTTTACAGTATTTTAACTCCATTTGAGGGTACAGCCACGAACAATCTAAGTTAACTAATCTAAATTACCAATCTTTAAAATATATCTATTTACAAAACACATTTTTCTGAATTCATCAAACAAGTTAATTTCTTTTAAAAAAACAATAATTAAATGAAAATTAACAGTGGTTAAAAAGATCCTTCAATGTTTTTACATTGAAATGTTTATCCCTTATGATGCATATCAGACATAGCATATTGCATATGGGGTCACATCCAACATATGTTGTACATTGCGCAACATCCAAAATAAGTTGTATATAGTGGCATATCCGAAATATTGTATTGTATATAGCATATCATACGACCTGTCATGTTGTATATAGCACCATATCCGACATATCATATTGTAAATAGAGTCACATCTGATTTTTCCTGCTGTATATTGCGCACATCCAACGTATCGTATTGTATATTGCGGCACCTCCGACATATCATGCTGTATATAGCGCAGCACCCAGCGTACAATGTTGTATATAGGGCAATATCAGACTATCATATTGCATATGGGGTCACAGCCGACATATGTTGTACATAGCGCAACATCCGAAATATCTTGCTATATATAGCGTCACATCCCACATACCATAAAGTATATAGCACTACATCCGACATGTCATGTTGTATATAGCATCATATACGACAAGTCATATTGTTTAAAGCACCAAATCTTACATATCATGATGTATATTGCGTCACAGCATACGTATTTATTGTATATTGCATCACATCTGATACAGAGGTCAGGTTTGAATACTGGGAATAATGGATGCCATTTATTTGTAAATTTCTTCATTTCATTCCATTTGGCAATGAAGCTTTCAACAGAAAAATATATTTTAAAGTCATCATAAGGGTATTGCATTTTGAATATTGTTTTTGAAAAGAAGAGACAAAAATATATCTTTTTGCTGAAATGATTTTATGATTAAGTTCTGGGATTTTACTTAAGGAACCAAAATACACCAAACATTTTGTCAAAATTAACTTTTTGTATCAAATGAGTGTTAATCCAAATTTGAAGACCATTCCAAAACTTCATAGTTTCACAACATTCCCAGTAAACATGGCACAAGTTTTTTATCCTCATCTTTACAAAAGCTGCATGAGGCACTTTGGATAAGATTCATTTTTAAAGTTCCTTTTTGGTAAAGATAATACCATGTAAAACTTCAAATTGGAAATCTACGCGTTTTGCATCATTAATGTCTTGTCTGTAAGACTTAAAAGTCATTGGCCAATCAAGTTCATCAAACACATTCTCCCATTTATGACACATATGAGGGTTATTATTGTTAAATAACAATATATCATAACATAAGCTTGATCCATGCAATGATTTCATGAAATTCTTTTGATAAAAATTTAGATTCATGTCATAGTTATGTATATATCTGTGATTTGTTATTGTATTTTTCCATGATTCAGAAAAAAAATATTTAGAACATATCTATGATCTAATTCTGTCCCTTTTATTGAATATTTACTTTTCAACAGACATCAAACCTTCTTCAACACACATGTTGTTGATGGTTAATAGTCCTTTATTTGCCCAATGTCTGATATAATGTTTTGGGTTTTTCAAATTATGATTAAACCATAATGGGATTGCTAAAATTTCATCAGTGTTGCTTTCCTCTATGGTAATGTTAGTACAATACATACTCCATGCTTATAAAACATCTTTCCAATATGGATTATGAATATTAGCAATATTATAGAAATTAGCACCAAAATTCATGATATCATGTTAAGGAAAATTGCATATTGCATATTGATGATTTTCTTAAATACAGTCTCAAAGTAGATAGTTTCAAGGCATTGA